TTAGAGCATTTAGTAAAGTGAAACTGGACGGTATTATTATAATGATTCCTTTCTCTAGCGTCTAGCAGGGTCCTGGCACTGAGTGGGAGCCCAGTTTTATTGCTGGAGAGAGGACAACATGATAAAGAAAACAAAAGAAGCTAACTCCAAGCAAAAACACATAGGTTTTGTGTTTGACTGCTTTTTAGTAATTATACAGCTGTTTAAAATTCACAGTGTCCATCCTTTCTAAAGCTATTCTCATTCCTCATTTTTATCAATAAGAATTACAGCAAGAATCACACTTGCTGCTTCCAGCTTCCAGCAAACAAAGAAAAGCAGAGAGCTGTGTTTTTTTGGTGACAGCTTGTTTATTGCTTTTGCAGAGTAAGTATTCTCTTGTAGTAGAAATGGACTAAAAAATGGATTTTTTGAAACTTATCAAATGCTTCTGTTTCATTTCCGTTTTTAAGCACCTACTTCAATTCAGTTTTTTACGAACATGCTTTACAATATTAACACTTCATTTATCTCACTGTTTTAAAAGGCAAAGTTCCACCGTTAGCTAGCTGGTCTAAAAAGAATGAGATGGCTTCTAGACACAGAAGCAATCACAGCGATTTTTCTGAGATGGAAGGGAAAGAAAGCAAAATAAACAGGGAAACAAAAAGAAGAGATCAGAGAAAGACAGGAATAAAAGTGAGCTAGGAATATTTAGCAGACACAGTCTACCCTTTTCAAGTGAAGAGTGTAATTTCACAGCCAACCATATGGTGTAATTTGGTTACTGTTTTGGTGCCAGGCTATTTATATATGAGGGAACAAAGAGTGAGTGAATAAAGTAGGAAAAGGTAGAATTATGACAAGAATAAAAAAATAAATAAAAATGAAATCAAAATAAGAATCTACAAGAACAGCCATTGGAATATTAATGAATAAAGTAATATAATCCAGGACCACTTCTGAAATTAGCATAAGTTTGAATTTCAAATCTGCCACTTCCTATTTATTAATTCATGTACTCAATGAAACATATTCTAGTTGCTCAAAAATATGTGTTTAATGAGCATCATTTACAAATTATTATTAACCTTACTGATTCTTAATTTTTAATTATTTTTAATCTGCCTGATTATTAATTTCTTCACTTTCAAAACTTGGAAAAATAATGACTAGTATATTCTCACAGAGTGGTTGTGAGGACCTAATGAAATACATAAACATGAGGTCCATCAGCTGTGTGGTTATTAGTAAAGCTTAAAAAATGTAAGAAATGTATTATAGTATTATTCAGTCAAAAAGCAAAGCAAAAACTTGTTTAAACAACCAACAAACAAAAAATCCCTCTTGGTTAACTTGGCTCCGCCATTCATTTATTTATACTTTAAATTTTCTAACTGTGGCAGATCTGTATAAGTGGTCACGAATTCCTCCCCTGTCTGTACCATGCCTTTGCAATATGATTTTGAGATTGAGACTCTCCATCAAAAGCACAGTCCATTTCCCGACCCTGTGAATTTGAGCCCACCTCTATCCCTGCTCAGATACAGAAGTTAGACACAGTTTCTCAATATATCCAATTTGCACAATTAACTTTACCAAACCTGCTTCCTTTCTCTTTTTAATTATAATAGTTTTAATTGATTTTAGAGAGATAAAGCAAAATAAATAAGGAAACAAAAAGAAAAGGTCAGAGAGAGAGACAGGAATAAAAGTGAGTTAAGAATATTTAGCAGACACAGTCTACCCTTTTCAGGTGAGAGAGAGAGAGAGAGAGAGAGAGAGAGAGAGAGAGAGAGAGAGAAACATTGATTTGTTCCACTTATTTATGCATTCATTGGTTGCTTATTGTCTGTGCCCTGACCGGAGATGGAACCCACAACCTTGACATATGAGGATGATGCTCTAACCAACTGAGCTGCCCAGCCAGGAATCTAAATTACATTCATATAAATGTTTATATGTGGTCACATGTTTCTATTTGTAATTGAAGATGAATATACATTTTTGTGTTTTTCTTAGAACTAAGTTATTTTTTCTATCTTTGCAAGACTTTAGAGAAGGTAGAGATCATATTTCCATCTATTTTGCTGAAGGCATTGCTTTGATATCATGACACTTATAAGGGCATGATTTTAAAAAGTAAAAATAATGAAAAATATTACCTGAATACTCAAGAAGTGCCAGAAGTATTCTACACTTGACTTCTGCAGAGGAAAAACACAACAACATATCAGTTAATTGTTCAATTTTTTTCTGCCACATTTTAACTATGCCATAATAAAAATTAGCACAATCTCATTACATCAGATAATAAAAATCACTTGAAATGCTATTCATTCCTAGCTGTTTATATAAATTCTATCCATTGCTCAAGACCCTAAAATGCCTCCTAGATCTGAATTATGTGAGTCGATGAAACAGCATTCAAATCCTGCTACCTATGTAGGTCCTCCTTTGTTGCCATAGCTTACATGGTATTCTCTAAACTCCTACAGTTGTCATAGTCTTGATCAATAAACTATCAAATGGTATTTTTCTTAGTTATTTAAACTTTTAAAAATCATATATAATATATACAATTATCCTATATAATAAAAGGCTAATAATGAAATCAACTGAACGGCAGAATGACTAGTCACTATGATGAGCACTGGCCATCAGGGGACAGACGCTCAATGCAGGAGATGCCCCCTGGTGGTCAGTGCACTCACACAGGGGGAGCGCGGCTCAGCCAGAAGCCAGGCTCAGCTCACGGCTGGCGAGTGCAGCATTAGTGGCAGGAGCCTCTCCTGCATCTGTGGCATTGCTAAGGATGTCCGACTGATGGCTTAGGTCTGCCTGAGGGACACCCCCCTGAGTGCAGAATTTCATGCACTGGGCCTCTAGTATATTATATTATGCATTATATATTATAATTATAGTTTATATATAATTACATAGATTATATTTATAGACCCTATAGAATATATATAGTCTTCCTTTCCCATCTATAATTCAAGATACTGCCCTAAAGGACAGAAAAATACTAAATGTTTCCAAAATAGTCATCTTCCCACCCCATCTCTGAACAGGGTCAATCACAAGTATTTCATAAATAATGTGTATGAACTTCATTCTCATTGCTCTGTGTCCAATGAGTTATGTGTCCACTTATTTCCAATTGGCAAATAGTTTATTTGCCATAAAAACCTACAGAGTTTTTTCCCAAGATTATGGGAAATGACAAAGGTTAGATTGCATCCTATTCTAGATAGGTTCACAATAGTGAGAGCAACAAAATTAATCTACAAGAAATGCAGGAGTTACCTAAGAGGGCATTAAATTTTACAAGTGAGACTGCAAAAACAGAAGACCCCTGTGTCATATACTAGCTGTGTGGTCTTTAAAAAATTGCTAAAATACTTTGAGTCTCCACTTGCTGAGTTCATTACAAAAGGATGTAACTCAGGAACAGCAGATGGAAGAGAGGCAAGGGCAAGGTATGGGAGAAAGGCATGGAGCTTCCATGCTGTCTGAATAGGCCACACTCCCAGGAGATGAGGACGAATGGTTCAGAACATGCTACCCCAGCATAAGGCACTTTGGCATATTAAATATTTTAAGCTGAGTGAATTTGAGAAACAGCAGGTGCAGGAAGGACTCTCTGATCCCCCTCTTCTCCCCTAACACAGGTCATAAGACCCTCATATGAGAATTCTCCTCCCTATACCTGGAGGAACAAAGCATCCTATGTCCAAAGATGCTGAGAGGAACAGACCCTGCTAAGTTTCTCCCAGATCACTGTCCTTAGCATATACCCTTTGTTTTATCACATTTTCCCACAACTTTCCACTCTTCATCAAACCTAGCATAAAAACTCTTAGGTTTAACTATTTCTTTGGGTCCTCATTCCTTATGAAGGCTCTTGTCTCATGTAAAATTCATATTAAATAGACTTGCATGCTTTCCTCTTATTAATTTCCCTTTTTTCAGCATAATTCACAGGAGGATAGAAGACAAAAGATATTTATTTTCTCCCCTACAGGGATATCAGAATGGGGTCAATCCCAGCTATGTATATAAAAAATGAAATTCTGGCAAGTTGGCCTTATGTTAACTTGCAGGTAAGACCTAACTTTCCCTATGTAAAGACAGTTTAAGAAAGAAAATGAAAATTACTTCTAGTTGCATTAGATAAATTCATGCTAAACTGGTGATGTTACATCAGTGTACCTCCACTGAACAAGCAGCTGATTATAAGGATCTCAGGACTATGCTTCTATCCTTATAACAGGATTAGACACCACACACATTACAGGAAATGGCAACTCGACTTCTCCTTTGAATAGTCCATTGAGCTGAACTAGTGATTAATAGTTTTTCAGAGTCTCACTTAATATGGTGACAATCATAGCCCTTATCCAAAGTAAGTGCATCTCACTGAAACTTACAACAAGGGATGCAACTGAAATTCTGGAAAAAGCCCTCCCCACACCACTGACTGTACATCCAGCCACGTTCAACCAGCTCCTAGGCTCCTATGACCAACAGTGGCACATATTCAATATCTATCAATCAATCAATCAATCAATTAATAGGTCAATCAATCAATGCAGATATCTGCCATTCCTACTGCTGTTCATTGTGATATGAGGTACTCAAGATATAAAAGCAGGACTTATGATGAAAATGTACCATTCTTCAAATGAAGACCTTTTAAAAAAGTAAGCATTTTATTCTGTAGAAGAGGTTTATATTTTAAAGATAAAGCTCTTCAAAGAGCAAACAATAAAAAAAGGATTTCTCTGTCCATATCAATATTTCATTTACTCTAAAAGCAATATAAGGTTTAAAAAACTCAAGGATGATGAGAACAACTGCATTTAGATTCATGACATAACTTTTAGGAGTGTTATGATACTGGCATCTATTGAGTAAAAATACACCTTTTACTTAGTAAAGTATATGCCTAGATTTCTTAAGCCTAACACCTTTTAAAAATATCACCCTCTTGCTAATCATTATTTTGGGGGAGTGTTATAATGTGTAACAAGTAGCCAATATATATATTTATCTATAAAATAAAAATATATCCAAGAAATCTAGCTGTCAAGAACAAAATATTTCATCACACAACAGAAATGCTGTGATTCATTTGGAGTTTTTCCTATCTGTACAAACTCCTCTACTGGTCTCTAAATAATACCTAAGCTGTTATATTGAGTTTATTTCTAGGCAGACTTAGTAATCACAGAACATTTAAACCATCTCTGTCATTTATGAAGAGGCCCCCAAAATGATGAAACTGAGCCCCCAAAGGGGTTAAGTGACGGCTCAGATTCTGTTGAGTTTAGGAGCTATCATTTATCAGGAAAGCATTGTAAAAGAGAAAACCAGACCTAAAATGGCATCACTTATGCTAAAACCCATGATACCAAACCTATATTTGATGCCTGACTTAATTGCTGTTTCAACCTTCTTGGAAATATAACCTTAATCAACAGTCTGGAATTTTCTGATCAAGCACCACTAAGGTAATCTGTTGAATGGGCCCTTTCCATCCCCCATAAAAAGAAGAGGCAACTGGCAAGATAAAAACCCTTGCAGCTCCCTTAAGAAGATGTCCTGGTGTAAATATAATCCTTTATCTTCTTTTGTTAATAGCTGCCTTGCCCTACCCATCTTCCTATAAAAACCTTCCATCTTGTACATCCCCTTGGAGCAACCTTGCAGTTACTAGGTAGGATGCTGTCTGATTCAGAAATCACTTAATAAAGGCAATTAGATCTTCAAATTTACTCAGTTGAATTTTGTTTTTTAATAGCATAAAAAAAAAATCCAGCCCAACTGATGTGGCTCAGTGGTTGAGCGTTCACCTATAAAACAGTTCATAGTTCAATTCCTGGTCAGGGCACATGCCCAGGTTGTGTGCTCGATCCCCAGTGTGTGGTGTGCAGGAGGCAACTGATCAATGACTCTCTCATCATTGATGTTTCTATCTCTCTCTCTCCCTCTCCCTTCTCTGAAATCAATTAAATAACTTCTCTAATGTACCCTGCAATAATGGTGATGCAGTGATTTTGCTGAATACTATTTACCATATCGAACTGACTTTCAAATCATTGTGGAATAAAAATTTAAACCCAGGCATAATACTTATTCATTGTACAAGTTTCCTGGTCTTAGCACTATTAACATTTTGGGCCAAACCATTTTTTGTTGTAAGGGACTGTCCTGAACATTGTAGACTCTTAGTAGAATCCCTGGGCTCCACCCACTAGATGCGAATGGTACACCCACAGCTGGGACAACCAAAGTGTGTCTCCAGATACTGCCAGCCACTGGCTGAATATTGGAAATAAAATCATGAATTAGATATTTAAAAAAATTAAACGAATTTCCCTTTTCAACATTTTCACCATAACCAGGTTGGGAACTCTCAGAATTTTCTACTGAATAACTCTGAATCTAAACATGCAATCAGATTTTGGAGTTGTCTTGAAGTTCTATCTCCAATTACAGGTTGTACCAATTATACGGTGTTGAGGAAACAATGTCATGGTAGATAATGACACCATCAACTCAGACAAACAATTCTGAAAAAGAAACTTAAAATGAATGATGCAACCTATGTCATTATCTTGATCCTCACACAGTTGCCCAATTGATTTTTTAGACTCTCCATAACATTTAGTTTCATGTCTTTTGTGAATTCTTTTAAACAAATTTCTGTTGTCTCCTATAAAATATGAAGCTCCATGTTCCATCTGTCTTCATAAATATAAGCTCTTATTTTATTCACTGAAAATATTCTCCATCATGTAGATCCTTTAGATCCTTGGAACATAAGGTTCTGCAATTTTATTCCTCCTTTCTCTCTTCCTCCATCATACTTTACAGTCCTTTTATTTCACTCTTAACAGGAAACACTGAAAAAGTGATCAGACTATTACTGAACTTTTGGGTTTAATGGGTTTTAAAATGATTACTACTAATATAATGAGATATTCTTTTTTTCCAAACTGACCTTCAACAAATTTTCTGATGTTCTGAGCAAGACTCTGGACGCTGCTGGGAAGATTCCAAGGATCTTGCTTGATGTGAAGCCTTAACCGTTTTGGACAACTCAGCTTTGGTTCCATTTCGTGCTGAAATTCTAAACAAACACAAAAAGTCTCTCTTAACTCTCAACCATTTACCAAACAGTTAACAACACTATCAGCTTCAGAATCTTCTTGTTTTCCTTGCCATTGTCCTAAATTATTATCATGTTGGTAATTTCTTTAGCCATATCACAGGAGAAAATGTGTCAAATCCAGAATGCCAAACCTTAGTATTATTTTCTTACAAATGTTTAAACAAAGGAGCAAATTTAGATGAAAAACTATACTTTAAACATTTTAAACTAGATGTCGGAAAGTGGAAGCTCTAGATCTTCTTCTGTTAGCCTATTCTGTTTGCCCACCCAGATTCTCAACCCTCCTCCCCCACCACTGGGATATGAACAAGTAGCCATTATGCTTGGTTCAGGCCAAAGCAACTCAACACCTATATTGCTTCAATTAACTCATATATATTCAGTCTGGCCCCCATAGGCATTAAACATTTTAACTTTCAAAGAAAACTAAAATATCCTATACTGATTTTTTACTTAGATTCAAAAACTATCAAAACAGAAGCAATAGTAAATGAATTATGAAACATGAGCAAACGGAACTTTTCTTATAATGCTTCTAGAGGCCCGGTGCATGGATTCAGGCACTGGTGGGATCCCTCATCCTGGCCTGTGCCCTCTCGCAATCTGGGACCCGTCGGGGGACATTGGACTGCTGGTTTCGGCCTGGTCCCCACCCGGTTCCTGCAGGCCAGGCCAAGGGACCCCACTGGTGCACGAATCCATGCATTGGGCCTCCAGTATGCATATAAGATCTTTGGTTAAGCTCTTCCCACCCTCCTTTCTCCCCAATTCCCTCTGAGATTTATCAGTCTGTCCATGTTTGCATGCCTGTGCATTGAGCATCTGCCCCCTGGTGGTCAGTGCATGTCATAGCTACCGTGCAAGCGGTCCAATGATCACATGGTTGCTTAGGCTTTTATATATGTAGATGCTTTTGCTTTATAACTATACTGTCTCCCACTTTGTCTCCCAATTGCTTCTAACAGTTATTTCATAAACCTTACCCTGCAATCCTCGACCTGGGGTTAGGTACTTGGTTTGCTCAAAGGCTCTGACCACAGCTTGCCCTTTTAGGAGATTGGTAATTGAATCCACCTATGACAATAGTAGAGATTCTGAGAGTTACATAATCTCATAACACATCACATATATTTCCAAAGTAAATCTTGCAACATATTTTTAAAGCAATAATTACTGGTTGAAATACCACAATTCTTATGAAATCTACCTTTAAATAAAATATTGGAATAAACTCACCTGAGAACATTTGTAATAACATTTCTTACTATTCTACCATATATTGATACAAAATATAAATTCACTTCACAAAAGAAGTATAGGTCCTAAAATTATTAAAGAAAACTAAAAGTTATCAAAATCCTTTTCAAAGTAATAAAAGTTTCTACACCATAAATTGTAGTTATGGATATAAGTTTTTAAAGACTACACAACACCAATATGAGCCCTGTGACAATCTTTGTGCTTTTTGAAATTAAGAATAAAATTAAATAAGAAATGTCATAAAGGATTCTGAAAACCAATAAAAAAATAAACAATAAAAGAATAACTCCTGTGTGTATAACTCTTTATGATTTCCTCAAGACTATAAAATACTTGACATTACAATAATCCTTTGGGTTAGTTGGCTGAAGAAATGAATAATTATTCCCATTTTTAAATTGTGGGAATTGAGTTAAAGTGGGGTGGAGGGACAGATTGAGGCCTTTCTATTCTAATTCCAAGCTCTTTTCAGGGCATCTGAAAAGAGATTCCTGCTAGTTTAGTCTACAGAAAAAATACCCACACATGTCCCAGTCATACCTGGCTGAAAAGATGCTCCAGACAACTATGTATCTTATCCTGTTTTTCATGAGAAATTCGAACACTTAGTGGAAGTTCATCACCTAGATAAAAATAATGATAATTAATCCTGTTTAACATTCCAAAGTATTTTAATATAAATAAAATAAAAATACTGAAACACAAGCTCTTATTCAAGACATTAGTTTTCATGATCAGAATTCCAACAGATTTAATAGGTATGGAGGTACCAGATTATTGATCCTAGCAAAGTGGAGTGAAAGTGGCCACACAGAAAGAACACTGCACTACGTTAATTCTTTCAAATGGTACATTTTCCTAATGATTAAGTAGTTGAAATAAACTTCAGATTAGTAATTAATCCTATGTTTAACATCCCAAAGTATTTTAATATAAATAAAATAAAAATATTGAAACACAAGCTCTTCTTCAAGACATTAGTTTTCATGATCAGAAAATGAATTCTAACAGATTTAATAGCTATGGAGGTATCAGATTATTGATCCTAGCAAAATGGAGTGGAAGTGGCCACATAGAAAGAACACTGCACTACATTAATTCTTTCAAATGGTACACTTTTCTAATGATTAAGTAGTTGAAATAAACTTCAGATTTTAAAATTAAGATTTATCCTAATTGGCTGCAAAATCTTGTTTGTAACACACACGTAACAAGAAATTTATGAGGTATTTATATCAGGTATTTATTTATTACTCCCATCACCTACATTAAGGCCATTTCAGGTACATCTAACTGTCCTAAAGTCCTTGGTTTAAGAGCCCTTCCCACCTCCATCCCCAACCAACAATGCCTAATGTTTTAGTTAAACTGGCTTCCTGTATACCTATCATTTTTCATAGTACCATAGAAGGATCATAAAACATATACTAAGGTAATTTAAAAAACTTAGTTTGTTTACTTCATCGCTTTTTAATTCACTACTTATATCAGGATTGAGAAATGGGCTTTATCAAGCACATACGCTGGAATGCAGTATGTGCAGTTACCAAGGATGACTGACAGAAGGTAAAAACGCATAAGGATCAGACAGATCAATTCCAATGGTACTGGCATCAAAGAGCACCCATGCCTTGAGCAAACGCACCTGAGTCCATTTCATCGCTATGAAAATATGAGCTGCACTGGCAGTTTGAAAAGCATTTTTATTTATTGTACATTATTTCATTCACTCCTCATACTGTCTAGTGTGACAAGAAAGGCTGGTACAGACTTAATT